GGTGGGGGAGAGCCGGGAGCGGCGGAGGGAGTGAGGCCGCTGGGAGCTGCTGCCTCGTCTGGGCCCGGCGACCCGGGACACGTGTGGCGCTGGCGGCAGCGGTGGTGCTGCGGGCAAAACAATTCCGGGTGGCTCTGCCTGGGCTGGGGAGCTGGGCGGGTGGCAGAGGCGGGGGGAGGGGGGAGAAAGGGCTTCGGAAACAGTCTCCGTAACGGCAGCTCCATTACACCAGGGAAATTAATTTTTTTGTTTGTTTTTTATTTGGAAAGCAGCGTTTCTTCATGCGGGCCCAGAATTCTTGTGCTCTTTGCAACCTCTTTCTGCATGCCTTGCAAAGTAGCAAGCAACAACAGGTTGCTTTTCCTAGTTGCTTTCATCAGCAGGTGTTGATGAAACATTAGTTATGCTGGGTATTTCAGCTACACTATTTGCTGTTTTCAGAAACATAGTCTAGAGGGTTTTTTTGTATGGGATTATTTCATCGACTTTTTGGCTGCTTATCTCACTATTATGATCGTTTCTTTCCGTTTTAATAAATGTGCTTCTGTGTTCTTATTTTATTTTTCCTGTCTTAACATTCAGTATAACATCTATTTGCAATATTGTTCGCCTTAGGATGTGTTTAAAATCATCACAGGTAGCATACTGCTAAGTAAGTCCACAGGTTGTCTTTTGGTTTTATCGATCCTTTTATATTTACTTCTCTTTAGTGATTTCTCCAAACTTAGTATGTGGGGGAAAAACTGTGAATGCAGTAAAAGGAGAAATTAAAGTTTTTGAAAGTATGGCGTAAACTACAATTGTAAGAAATCACAACCATATTTAATTAAGTTGGCAGGTCGGAAAGACATTTGCTTCTGCTAAACGTGGAGAGTTTTATTATAGATTTTTCTAGCTATACTTGCTGTGTCTTGAATTCATTGTGTTACGGAGGAAGTGCAGGCAGGGTGATAGGTCCATGTGCTAATGCCAATCCTGTTTCCCAGACAAAGCTAGGAATTAGTAGGGAACAGAAAGGGACAAGACCAGGAGAGGAATTTTCCTATAAAATACTTCTATCACAGTTATTAATGATAGAGATCTAAAGCATTTGACCTTGACTTCTCCCGCAGTTTCTTTTGTGTAGAAAAATTGCCAAGCCCTCTCCCCTACTTTGTTTTGAGTTTATGAACTCTCCACATGGACAGCTAATGTTCTGAGTATATAAAGGATTCTGTTTCTTTTCTCTTAAATTTTCTCTTGAACAAAGCATGGTTTAAATAAGCCTGATGAAAGTGAGTTAATATATTAACACTTTGTCTCCAGGGATTTGGGTTTTATTGTTTACATTTGGCCTGGTGTGGTCAGTGGTCATGTGCTCACTCAAAATCTTCCATGTTTTGTTTAAGCATGTTTTTAGTAATGGATTCATCTGCTCATTTAGCTATATGAACACAAGGTGTTAACTGCTGTAGCGCACTGGTGTGAAAAGCTGGTAGCTCTGTGACATTTGTGGTTTGACAACAAATGAAGTTGTGCTTGCCCCACATTAGCTCATCTAGACTGACAGTGGTGTAATGATACGGGTCTATATATACCTGTACATACAGAGGGCTGATAGGCCCTCGGCCTATTTAATAAGTGATGAAGCATATTTATCTTTCTTCTCCAGAAAGTATCATGAAGTTTTGGTTACCTCTTTCTCATAACATTTGTTGCAAAACAAAATTTCTCTCTTAAATACCGTGTCACTTTATTAGATTGAATTTCCTCCTCCGGCTCCCCAAGATGTGTCTCTTTTAGTGCAGTTTTCCCCTTTGGCTCTAGTTTTTTTCAGAGCTTGTTGCTTTATACTTCTCTATCCAGATCTTGCGAAGGTCACATCTGGTTGTCGTGCAGATCAAGCCTCTCCACTTGAATCTATGCTGCACTGATAACACAATTTTGCTTGTCTTAATGGTCATTTGGTCCTAGCTTGCCTCCTGCGTTCCTGGTTTTGTGTCAAAAGTTGAACAGCAGTTGTAGAGATAGTTGCTTAGCGATAATACCATGAGTTTGAACTACCCAAAAGAAGTATTTTCAGAATAATAACCTGTTAAAATATATGGCTTGGTTTTGATCATAGTGATGAAGCTTGGTGTCAGCTGAAAAGAGTATTGTTTAGATTGCTTATCGTTATGCTGCTGTGTGAAGTATGTGCACATCCATGTTTCTTGATAGAAGCTACAGGAAAAAGGGAGCAAGGTGTAAAGCCTTTTTGGTCTGTAGATCCATTTTCTGTAGATAGAAGCAAAGACCCCTTGATTGATCTTAAAAGGGTAATAAAGTGGCTTAAACTTAGACCTTGAAAAGCATTGGTGTGCACATCTTTAATCCTTGAAATAAGTTAGAAAGGTAAAGAATTGCTGTCACCAGCCAGGTTCAGTGCTCTTGGTGCCTGCAGTATACCAGCTGAACTTCATTTTCAGATAGATTAAGTTAAAAGTTACAAATGATGACTGGGTTATCAGAGCGTTTTCCTTAAATATATGTGTAATCACAATTTAATGATACAAGGTGAAGTCACAATGTCGAATCTCTAAACCCATGTGTAGTTTCTGGGGTCTCTGTATTGTAAGTGTGCATGGTCACACAGAGTCATTACAGCCTGTATCTTCCAAGACGAAGTAGATAATGTTTTCTTCAGTTGTTATTTGAGACTGATGACATGGGGGGGGGGGAAATCAAGATATCTGTGATTGGGAACAAGAAGAGACAGTTGGATGATGAGATAAATGCCCAGCTTACGCATCTCACCAGCTGTTTCTATGTTACTTTCTAAAAAATACTGATCTGGCATTTCTTGCTGTTTGTGAAGTTCACTGTGTACTGAAACCACTTAGATGCTGGGAAAAGCGAGTCTACTGTTCCCAACTTGGACAAGCAAAAGAACAAGGTGTCTGTAACTCCCTTGTAGGCTTAAAGAAATTTGAAAGGTGGTATCTAGCAGAAACCCCTTCAGAAACCCCCATCTGGAAGAGCTTAATTAATGAATTTCAGTTTATAGTGTACACAGAACTTGAAATTCTTTCATGAGATTTCTCGGAACCGGAGCCACTGAGAGGTTCCTGTGTGAGCGAAATGCAGGTGATGAAGGGCAGAGAAGGTAATGTAGATGGTTACTTGTTGGTATGAGGGTGGAGAGAGTACTTTCATAATTAGAAGGATGAATTTCTAAATTTACTTGATTTGAAAACAGACCTTAACTTTGAGTTGGAAAATGGCTATAGCTTGTTTCATTGCACTTGAAGTAGGTATAGTTTTATCAACAAGCTTGCTTGCTTTTGAGGAGAAAATTATATTTTCTCTTCAGAATTTTTCTCATAACATCAAGTACTATCAAACTACTACAAGTTACTTCCAGCATTTCTGTAGTTGTCCACATGGCTGCATAACTGTACTAGATGTTATCTTACATTGTGCAGTACTGACTGAAATAAGCACAAGGTGAGTGATCTGAAGAAGGTACTACTGTGAGGGCTAAACACTGCTTGATCTGCTTACTGTGGCATCAGCTTTCCACCTTCCAGTATGATCTGGCTTCCTGAAATAAAGATTATCTGGTTTGCTTACAGTACTTGGTGGTACCTGGAGTCACTGCTAGAAAAATAATTCTTGGGTTTATTAGCTCAAAAGCCAAGAACTAAAATTTAGTAAGACACTAGAGAAGATAGTGTTTCCTGGATTTATTTTAGTAGACAAATAAAATTGCAAGGGTGTATGACTCAACTGTTGTCTGTCTTGCTTTGTGGGAATGAAGGTAGAAAAATATGTCTTTAAATTTGAAAGTAGTTGCTTTTGACTCTTACTTTGAATTTCAAGTCCATGGTTGTTAAGTTGCTTTTATATTTTTTACCAAAAAAACTTGCCAACCCTTTAGGTTATGCCAGCCTTTTATTTTACTACTTTTTGGATCTTTGGGATCCATATGTGATCTCCGTACACTGTTTTAAAGTTTGGCTACAGAAATATTGCTCGCATGAGTATGAGTAGTGGAAAGTGATCT